CTGCGCCCGGGCCGGGAGGTAGATCCTCCTCCCCACGGAAAGGGAGGCTGCCGGGACTCCCGCTTTGGCTTCGCCCCCCCACCCCCCAGTCATTGGGCAGCTGCCTTTGGAGGCCTTCTGCCCGTCTCTGGGGTGCAAGGTAAGGGGGCCCCCTCACTTTGGGTCAGAGCACCGGGGGGTGCCAGGACCTGGGTTGCATCTCACCCAGTCCCTGGGCTCCAACCCGGCCAGGACCCGCTGCCTGTGGAGCTAATGGAAGGCACTGGCAGGGGTGGCATCTCCCTGACCTCCTCAGGGCTGTGGGTCTGCAGCTTTGGCAGACTGCCTGTCCTGTCTCACGCCGCTGGGGAGGGCTTGACTGGCCCTCGAAATGCCGGGTTCTGTGTGGGAATGCCCAGCTCCACCCTCCCTGGGATCCAGTGGCCTGGAGTTCCACCAGCTCGCGCTTGCCGAGGGTCTCCAATAGGCTGAAGAGACCTGGCTGCGTGGAAGGTTTGGGAACGTTGCCTTCCTCCCGCCTTCCGGAGGCACGGGAGCGGGAGGGCCCGGGGCGGGTGTGACCCATCCCTAAGCCCCATCTCCCGCTCTCCTCCCCAGGGCCGGCGCGGGCCAAGCGATGGCGCTGCTCGTCCACCTGCTGGCGTGCGTCTTCGGGACGGGCTCCTGGGTGGCCATCAACGGCCTGTGGGTGGAGGTGCCCGCTGCCTGCCCTCCTACCTCACCATCACCATCCAGCTGGCCAACGTGGGGCCGCTCCTGTTCACCCTGCTGCACAGGTTCAGGCCTGGGCTGCTGAGCGAAGTGCCCGTCATCTACGGCGTGGTGGCCGTGGGGACCCTGGCCTGCCTGCTCCTGGCCTTCCTGTGGCGTTTCACCTCCCCCATCGCAGGGCAGCCCCACAGCACGGCCTTCTTCGGCCTCGCCTTCTGCCTGGCCCTGGTGGACTGCACCTCCTCCGTCACCTTCCTGCCCTTCATGGCCCGGCTGCAGCCCAGCTACGTCCCCACCTACTTCCTGGGGGAAGGCCTCAGCGGGTTCCTGCCAGCCCTCGTGGCCTTGGCCCAGGGCGCCGGCGTCGCCAGGTGCGCCAACGTCACCGCGAGACCCAGTATCTCCCGGCCAACTTCTCCACCCACCTCTTCTTCCTCCTCCTCGCAGCCATGATGGGGGCCTGCCTCGCCGCCTTCTTCTTCCTCACCAGGCTGCCCGCCGCCTGGGAGCTGTCCAGACAAAACTTGTGTCCTAGCAACATCAGCCTGCACTCCTTTCAGGAAATCCCCGGCGACAGCCCCCAGTGGCCTGGGGGAGGAGAGCCAGCGAGCACCGAGAAGGGCTCCGGCCCCTCACCCCCGGAGGGGGCTACCTACTCTCTGGCCACGTTTGCCTTCATCTATACCCTTGTGGCCTGGGTGAACTCGCTAACCAACGGGATCCTGCCCTCCGTGCAGGCCTACTCCTGCTTGCCCTACGGCAACGTGGCCTACCACCTGTCTGCCACGCTGAGCTCCATGGCGAACCCACTCGCCTGCACCATCGCCATGTTCCTGCCCAGCAGGTGGGTGCCCCCGCCACACCCCTGAGCCCCCGGGGGCCGGCCGGGTGACACCCACACCCCCATTTTGC